CACCCACCACCAGCGACGATGACGAGCACCAGGCCATGGATCCCAACCGCACGCTGACCAGCCTCACCATCGAGGTGGACCAGGAGGAGGATGAGGAGCAGGACGAGCCGGAGCAAAGGACGCCCACCAACAGCAGCAAGGACCACAACCTCAACGAGCTTAAGCAGACGCCCACCAAGGCGCTCAGCGGGATGTTAGAGAAGCTAAGGGTTAAACTGGTTCCGGGCAAAAGCTCGCCCTCGAAGAACCAGAACACGAACCAGATCCAAGCCAAGCCCGCCAATGCAAGTGCGGTGAATGATGACGAGCTTTACGATTTGGCCGGCGAGTACGTCACCATAGCGGACATTAGCAACAACAACAACAACCAGCTGAATGGACGACGAAACACGGGAACGGGCATGGGTATATACTATTCCAATGACATAGTTTCCAAGAGGGTTGAACCCGCTTCGGCCGCCGAGTACGTCTCGCTGAACGAGCTGCCCCAGCACTTGCGTCGGCATGCCAGAGCAACTCCTCCCCCTCTTCCGCTGGCTGCTCCGGCGGAGAGCGAGTCCTGCGCACAACAACAGCTGCCCGTCGAGCCGGCAGCTGCGACATCGTCATCCCAACCACCCCTTCTTGGCAGTAACAGCCGGATGAAGGGCCAGGGCGAGGGGGGTGTGCCCATGTACGCGGAAATTGGCGAGCTGAGCGAGGAGAAGCCACTCGCAGTGGCGAATCGGATGAACCGACTGCGCCCGAACGCCGAGGGGAAACTGGTCTACGACTCCGACAGTCTGAAGCGGCGCAAGGGTGCACACACCACCTTCGCACCTGGGCCGTACGTGAAGGAAACCGAAAGTGCGCTCCACAGTGCAGAAAGTGCAGCGACGGCGGCCACATCAGCGGATCATCATCAATTAGGTTTAGGATTGGGAGCAGGAACCGCCGCCACCACCAAGAGCGCCAAGCTACTCCTCCTCAGCGGCGGCGGACTTATCGCTGGCAATCGCAAGGTGGCCAACGTGAGGCCCATTGTGGCCAAATCCCCGCTCAGCAGGAGCAACGCCGCCGGCATGGCCACCTACCAGGCAGGCAGCAGCTATCAGGACCAGAAGCAACTACTGGCCAACCGAACGAATCCCTTCTACGAAACGATTGCCGCACCAGTGGCCAGTCTGATGATGCCCTCGCCATCGGGCAAATCGAACTCCTCGACAGGCTCCACCGCCACCAGTTCCTCCTCATCGGCATCGGGCCACTCCGGTGAAGAAGGTAAGCCAGAGCAGCTCCCGTCAGCCAGCAGCTGCCCGAAAACCGCTTGCCCACTTGCAATACAACCACAATCCGCATCCGTATCCTTATCCCAATCCACATCCTGTATCCCTGTAAATAACACTGCCAAGAGCACCCTTAATCACCACACAGCCAGCAAGTCAGCGGGCAGCATATCAAGTGTAAGGGAGCATCAGCCCCAGCAGCATCCCCATCAGAACCCCAAAGATTGCGAGTCGAAAGTGAGGGTTGTTGAAATGGAAACTACCCCCCTGGGGGATGGACGAGGGCCACCCCTGCCGCCGAGGGCGAAAGTTAGCGACAAACCCCCCACCAAGCCCCTATCGATTGACCCAATTGCGCTGCACTTTTCCATCGCTGGCAATCCCGGCCAGCCGCGCACCGCCCTCAAGCGGAACAACAGCTACCGGCTGGCCAACGATGAGCTGAAGCTGGAGATGAACAAGGAGAATCTCTCCGTGTCCTTCGGCTGCGAGAGAGCACCTAGTTCGGGTGCAATGCCCCTAAGTTCCGTGCAGCACGCAACAAGTTCCCTCCGGCTGCGCAACGTGAGCAACCACCTGCCCTCCGCCACCCACACCCAGACCCAATCACCTGGCGGGGAGCGGCGGATAGCCAAGTCCTTTGAGCGCCTGGTCGATGAGTTTTCGCTGTCGCTGAGCATTGGTAACGATTCCTCCTATCTGAAGAACAAGTCGCTCGAGAACTTTGATGACTCACCCGCCCTGTTGTCCGTGGCTTCGCGAGAACAAAGGCCAGACGAGAACGCCTCAGACTCCGAGGATTCCGAGGAGGATGAGGAGGCGATGGCCCCGCCCATGTCTCAGACCCTGCCGTCCCAAAAGTACCACAAGTCCTTTGTGGACAGTGTTCTTTTGCGTCCGTTTAAAATCATCCTGCCCAGCGACGAGAATGGCAACCGTCGCCAGCGCATTCTACAGAAATTCGAGGTTACCGAGATATGGTAGTTAGCTTAGCCCCTTTCCCCGACCCTTGGGCAGACACTACACGAAAACCGTAATTGCCGAGATTGGCACGGCTCAAAGGAGCCCCAGAGACCCTCGAGCCACCTAGTGTGTGGGCTCATTAAAGTTGCATGCACTTGGCCAGACTCGTGCGTGTTCAATGGGCCAAGATGGGGGTCTGTCCTGGCCTGTTCCCCCCTCCCCTGGAGTTCAATGTCCAATCCGAACACACTTGATATGCTGCTCCAAGACGAGCTTCTATTTTTTAAGCGAAATATATGCCCATTTCCCTGAAATCTATAAACCAGCTGGCTTGCAAGACTAAATACTTCACTCTGTTTATACAGTTTGCACTCGAAAAACCTTTAAACAGAACTGCAAATATACTAAACTTATCGTTACTTACAAATTATAAACAAAGTATTAATGCCTTTTGTTTTGTAATCTATTTCCGCCAAATCTTGCTCGTTTTATCAGTTATGTGTGTGTTTTTTAACCCTAGCTCTAGTTAATTAATAAATGTTAATTGTTTACTCATAAACACGTTTGTAACTAATTATAATTAACATAAACCAACACATGATTATTGTACATTTTGTAAAGTTTTTTGCACCGTTCACGTCTTGTACATCGATATAATACTCAAACTACCACAAGTACTACCTAAGTTTAGGATCGTCCACGACTATGATGCTAATCTTTTGAGTTTTTCATTTAAAATTTCCAACTCATTTTTAAAAACCGACGGATTGTGAGGCGTGCAAAAGACTTCTATTGCATTTTCTTAACCAATTTGCCCGTGTGTTTGTCTATGTTATAAAGTAGTAGTAGTTTTTTGCACACTCCCTCCGACTAACGAATGATCAGTAGTCTCACGAGTAGCTTGAAAGATTAGCACATGGCCTAACCAGTTAAGTTCTCGGCTAAGTTCAACCACATTCCATAAACAAAATCCAATTTACCACCGATCGTAAGTAATGTTTTTACAAAAGAAAAAAAAGAGAATAAAACAAAAAGAAACGAAAATTCGGCATTGACATTATCATTGGCATTTGGTCTGCGGTAAAGGAATCCCCATACATATAGTCGAACCATCCCATCCACAACCACCACATTCGCATTTGCATCCCTGCACCCAAGCACCAAACCGATTGGCATTTGTAAATACTCGCTCAGCTCATTGGGATTTGGGGGATTCCCAGGTAATGTCATCCGAAACGCCAAGGTACGTATGGAACCGCTTGCCCTGAACTTATCGCTTGTTTTATTTGGTAACCTTAACGATCCGCACTTGAAACCGCTTACTAAACCCCAGAGGAACCCCTTTAATAAAATATTAGTGTCTAACACGGTTTCAATTCTTTTCCATTCCCAGGGTATCAACGTTTCTCTAATATCTATGAGCAAGTGCAGCCAGCACCGAGCACCCAGCCAAAGGAAGATGCAACTGCCACGCCCTTCCAGCGCAATGCGCCCATTTACTGGACGCTGCAGAGTCGCCGCAGCCAGCCGAGGCCACAACCCACTGGCAACGTGACCTGCCGGGATGACCTCTATGCCACGCCCATTCGACGGGCCGACCGACTGCCCCGCCCAGTGGCTGCAACAGGAGCTGCGAACGCATCAGCGGAAGGCAACAGGAGCAACATATCGCCAATTGTGCCAAGGAATCGAGCAGGAGCCTTCCTCACCTCCACGCCCACGAGGGGCGGAGAGGTGGAGGGAGGTCCGGAGAGCAACCAAGTTCCCCCCATGAAGCAGCCATCCCGCAACTGGACCGACGATGCCCCTGAACGCCTCAACACCTGTGCCGATCGCATTGGCCAGAGCAAGACCACGCTCATGGACTTCAAGAAGCTGCTGCTGGCCAAGTCCGCCAAGGCAAGTCCTGTCCAGCGTAAGGTATCCGCCGTGGAGCTGCTGAAGAAGTCAACCCAAGCCGCCCCAACTCCGCCCGCTTTGAAGACCAATGGGGCTGGAGCTGGACAGAAAGTAACATCGACTGGAAGCAAACCCACGATAAACACCAGCCTCAAGCTGCTCGATCTGAGTGGTTCGCCCAAGACATTTGCCAACCGGAGGATGCTGCGCCAGGGTCAGTTTGGATCGCCCTCCAAGACTTTCGCGCCAAAAATGCGGGGTCCTGTTAATATGGTGGCTGCTGCAGCGGCACCACCACGAACGGACATCATGTCGACCACGATTCCGGAGGCAAATAGTGAGGAGGATCACTCCAACACCAGCGGAGGATCGCGGGCCAGTTCCGAGGCTGGCGAGACCGTTCCCTCCAGCTTCGACCTGAAGCGGAACTTCTTCCTGCAGACCGAGGAAAACAACTTCATGCGCGGGGAGCTGAAGCCCAGCTTTGCCAGGGCAAATGGAGCAGCTGGAGGAGCTGGTGGAGCTGGTGGAGCCAGTGCCGAAGGCAACAAGTACGTGGCAGCTCCGGTGGCGAATCCTCCGCTGCCCTCGTTCGAAACGGCGTTGTAGAGTGGGTCTAACCCACTGCTGTAGCCAGCGATAACACATATTCCATAAGAAAGGATCCCATAATCAGATGAGCAATTCCCTTCCGTAGCCAAGCCGAAACTGCATTTATTGACGGACGACGGAAACGAGTCAGAAGCGATGCTACTTTATGCAACATATACATATATCACTATATATACACAACACCTTTATACAATAAACTGTATTTTTTAAATTGTGCTGCTTGTATAAACGGAGATGTTTTATACACGAATACGAATCGTCTGTACACCTACAATATATTTATTTGTAATTTTACGTTATTTATTGCAATTATGTATTACGCTACACGCATTGCTCTTTGTTTTGTAGTACAACACTTGTACGCCTACGAACTGATGAGAATCGCTTAAAAATTAAACACATTGAATAACACACTTGGAAACCCTTGGTAGTTGTTTTCTTGGCGGGTCTATTTGTCTAGATGCTACTCTAGATCTGGGAAATGTTGTTTACCGCTTAGACAAATGCTTAAGTGCCCCTTTGGACCATCAAACAACTGAGTTTAATTGACAATTCAATTTTCGACAAAACATAAAAAACTGCATCTTTAAATTATGTTTATCTTTAATGTCAATTTATAATTAAGGTGTCTCTTAAACTAAAATATTTGGGAATATAGCTTTTTGATTCAATTGAAATACTTTTAAACTATTTTAAATAAAGAAGCTTGCGTACAGTCGTGTAAAATGTTAACTAATTTCAAACCTATAGTATCAAACTTTGATCGGAATTACATGTTACTCGCTGGAAATATAGTGGTAGCATAACTTAGTTACTTATCTTTTTAAATCCAACTGCGTCCCACGCTGCCGGACCTGCGTTTGGTAGACTTGTCGCCCAGGGAACTGGCTGCCTGGTCCTTCCGTCCCATTACAGGCGAGCTTCCAGATCCTATGTTACGGATGAGCTGCTTGAGGCTCCGGGCTTGGGCGTCGCTGGCCTGGCTCACGCTGTTCGCCTCTGTGGCAATGATGCAGAAATCGTCGACGATGTGGCCCGGTGGACTGATATCGAAGGGCAGGATGTCGCTCAGGCTCTGCTGCTGGCGATAGACGCTGCGTCGTCGAGCGCCACCGTCGCCAATGGATCCTCCGCTAGTTCCGGAGGCAGCCGCCCCCTGCTGCTGTTGGGTCAGCTGATGCAGCTCCTGCTGCAGGTTGAGGAGGCGAGCACGTAGTCCGGCATTGTCCTCGCTGAGGCGTTGCATGTGGGCCGCCTCCTGCTCCGCCCGCACAAATGTGGGCTGGGGCAGACACTGGTAAACAGTGGTCAGGAAGTTTCGCAGCGAAAGCATCAAAGTATCCTGCCACTGCTTGGTGAAGAACAGGGCAAAGGTGGGCGACTCCTCGGCGTTCTTACAGAAGGGGAAGTCTAAAACGAAACAGGGATCATAAGCAGGGTATTGACAGTTGGAATACCTAGTCTTAACGCACAGAACCAATCCTTCCACTCGCTCTGCTGCTGCAGGTCACTAGCCAACTTGTTGAAGAACTCGGACACCTTGTCGGGACGGTTGCTGGTATGCGCGGTCACCAGATAGTATTTAAGGAGGCTGTTTTCGAGTTTCTTGACAGCTGGAGGAGATTAGTCATCGATGTGTTATAAATTTAATGCTTGAGTAGTTGGAATATGTAACTCACCCACGGCGTAGGTGTGCTCCAACTTAGAGAATATGTTGTTGTCCAGGTGGAACCACAAGCTCCTTAGAGCCTGAAGATCGGAATTTTGCACAGCATTGTTAAATTGCTCCAGAAGCCTCTCCGCCCGGAAATGTTGGTCCTTTTCAGTGCGCTGCTCCAGGTCGAGAGCCTTTAAGGTGCCCGAGAATCCACGGAAAACTAGATATTCCCTGAGGAGGTTGTCCAGAAAAGCTACTTGTGCCATTTCCTTATATTCCTTAAGTGGTTTTTAAAAGATTTTACACTTTTTCTTTAATTTTTGCTATGAATGTTGTTGGAAGAAGAAGACAAACAGCTGGTAGGGCGGAGCTGCCAGATTGTTCAATAAGCTTGTTTGTGATTTTTCGATAGTATCGAACAAAAATGGCAATTGGTTCCATCTCTAAATCTCGCGCACATGTTGAAAACATAAATATTAGAGAAATGCACAAACGCCGAACTGCCAAGTCCATAAATAAACCACCGCCAATCCAGGGAGCTATAAAAAAGCCCACGCCGGCTGCTGAACCTGAGCTCCCCGAGGACATCGTCACCCAGTTCGAAGTGGAGCTCTGTTGGTGCGTGCAACAGTTGCAGGATGCCCTCAATGGAGGAAAACTGAGCCAGAAAGTGGCCGAGGACACCGCCAAGAATTTAAAGATCCTGACCAGTCCAAAGGCCCCGCTCATCAAAAAGCGCCAGGTGATGAAGATGTCCCTCGGCGACTACCGAGAAAAGATGCAGAAGGAGGAGCAGAAATTGCTCTTGGCCGCCCAGCAAATCAAGTTTACACCTACAAGTGACGCAGTCATAAGGTCCAGCTTCGTCAAGAAATCAGCTCTTTTGTCATCCGGAAAAGACTTTCGCTTCAACTTTTCCGCGCCCGCCGAAGAGTCCAATGCCAAGGAGCCCCATCCAGCACCCAAAGCCGAGGAGCCCCATCCAGCTCCCAAGTTGCAGTCCAATTTCCAGGAGAGCTCCGGAAGCCCATTCAAGTTCAACTTTTCCATCGATGATGATTCCGCCAATAATATCAACTTCAGCGGGTTGAACCTAAATAAATAGTTACGAATGATCCATTATGGCGGGAATAACAGACTGATGTTGTTTTTGTCACTACTTATACAAATAAAAGGTTTATTATAAAAAATATTTCAAAATTAATTCTTGTTTCGAAAGTATAAAAACATATGTTCGTAAGTTTAGAAAAAAGTTGTCTTCAGGAAATTAAAAATCTCAAATTCTTAGTTTAATGGATGATAAAGTATCATTATAGTTGAAACGATAGTTCAGGATGATTGATCCTTTAAAAATATTCTGTACTGTGCCATCATAACCCTCTTATTTTCAGTTTTTTAACCATAGAGAACTGCCTTTTTATAAAGCAACTTAGCTTAATAAGTGATCATCAACTTATACCGCACAGTGTTCGTGATTTTTATTTATAGCTTGCAGAGAGCACTTCCATGCTATATATCAACATATGTTGATCATGTCGGAAGACTACGGATAGCATGGGAATTGCTCAGTCTGCTCCCAACTGCCAAATGGCCAACAACGCCCGCATCGAACATACGTCCTCTGAGGGACATGAAGGGGACGCCACCTGCGTGGCGTACTTCGATGGACAGCTGTTCTCCGGAGGCGCCGACGGTAAAATCCGAGTGGGTATCTATCGCATCCCTTCAACGCTCCCTTTGCTGACCCCTTCCCTCGCAGATCTGGTCGCCGGAACTACAACTATTGGCCACTGTGAACGCTCACGAGGCTTACATATACTGCATGGCCATCAACCAGCACGGAAAGGTCTACTCGAGCAGTTGCGATGGTCAGGTGCACTTTATGCTGCCCCCCTATGGAGACGAAGCGGTGCAGGAGCTATTCCGCTGCGACAACGCCATTCAGGCTATGTACTGCGACGGAACCGTACTTTACACGGGAGATGACAAAGGCGTGGTGACCACTTGGACCAACGACCGCATGCTCTTCAAGTACAACCTGGTAGAGGAGGTCAAGTCGCTGGCCGGCGAGCAAAAGCTCATTTACACAGTTCGCGACCTGGACGTGGTGGTCTCCCAGGTGGCGGATGGCAAGTCCGGCAAGTATAGCAATAAGGCGGTGATCGCCGGCAAGTCGCCGCTCCGTCTTCTTGGACCATTGGTGGATGGAAAGCGCAGCTACCTCGCATTTCCCGACCGATCTGGAATGGGTCTTCAACTGGTTAATAACCTCCCGCAGCAGCAGTATACCCAACTTTGGCATATACCAGTAAGTATGCTAAATAAGTCGTTATTAGAAATTTATCTTTGATCCTATTCTAGGACTGTCACGAATTGATCGTAAACGCCCTCTGCGGGGATGAGAAATATTTGTATTCCGGCGGCTATGACAAAAAGGTTAAGGCTTGGACCGATCTGGGATCCGAAAAGCCAAGAGCCCTGGGCGAGGTGGATGTGGGCAGCTGTGTGAATAGCATCTGCTGTGGCGACAACGACAAAGTTTATATAGCTAGCAGCGATGGACTGATCCGCAGTGCAAAGTTTTCATAGATTTAGGGTCATCTTGTCGTCTCAGAGAGTAAGAAACCCTTAACCAATAACAGATTTTATTAAAATAAAACATTGTTGATTACATTTACGAACTGGCCTTGTGCTCTTGACTGTGCTCCAGGCTGTCGAAACCCACCTGGTCCTCGATCCAGCGAGCCACGGTGAGCAGCAACTGCTCGTTGAGGCTGTTGCTCATCAGCTGAAGGCTCAAGGGCAATCCTGCGCGGGAAAGACGAATGGGTATTGACACGGCGGGAATTCCAGCCATATTGGCTGGTTGAGTGCAAAAGTCCTGCACAGCACATTGATCCCTGTTGGTCAGGGAGGCGAAGTCCTTGTACAGTGGAGCCTCTGTTAGAGTTGTAGGTGTGAGAAGGATATCCACGCGTTCCTCTTTGTCTGAAGACTCAAACAATTTGACAAAGTCCTCTGCAATAAGGCGACGCACCCGCAACGCCTTCTCAAAATAGAGGTCGTAGTTCTTTCTTAGCAGGAGGAAGTTTCCTGTAAGGATGCGTGTCTTTACCACCTCGTTGAATCCCTCAGCCCGGGAAAGAGCGTACAACTGCTCCGTGCTTCGCTCATCGGATGCCCGGTGACCGTACTCGATGCCATCGTACCGGGCCATATTGCTAGCCACCTCGCACTGATTAAGAATGGAGTACACGAATATACTGGCTGCCGTATTTGGCAAGGAAATCTGTCGCACGGAGGCACCACTGCACTCTAGGAGATCGGCCACCTTGGACCACGTTTCCAGAACTTCGGCGGAGAGTCCATGGCAGTGGTATTCTTTTGGTATCCCTATGCGCACAGTGCTTAAATCAATTTGCCCGATTTCCGGCAGCTTCAGCCTAGTGAAAGGCTGTCTGATAGTTGTGGAGTCCAGTTGATCTGGTCCAGCCACGGCGTTTAGTACCGACACGCAGTCACTGACGGAGCGGCCGAAAATGCCGGGTACGTCCATGGAGTTGACTAGGGGATGAGGCCATGACGGGAAACTAAGCCGTAGGTGGGTTTCAGGCCCACTACGCCACAGTAGGAAGCGGGATTGCGGGTGGAGCCGCCTGTGTCCGAGCCAATTGCACTGAAATGGAAAAGGGGGTGTTTATAATTTACTTTGGCTTCGTATAATCCAAAAATTCCAAACAATAATTTAAAAACTCCAAAAGAAAGTTTAGGTTTTCGAACAGAAATTAAACATTTTTTCAAATATCAGAACAAAAGTCGTATTAAAAATTCGAAACACCGAGGGTAAGTATATTTCCTCCGCGTTACCAATTTTAAACACTTGCTAATTGTTTTAGAATAGCAACAACCCAATAACCCAAAAATCACGTTTAAATAAACACCAATCTTAAAAAATAAGTTTTTTGAGTTCAAGCGAGAAGCTCGTTAAAAAATACCAAAAAACAAATACCGCATCGAGTGGGCATTCCCAACGTCCAGCTGACAAAGTGCGTCGAACGGCCACACTGCGCAGCTGTCAGAAGTCGAACGATCAAGGGAAAACTCGATTATTTACCAAATTTGCGACCGAAATTGCTGCCCGAAGCGATGTCCGCGCTCTTTCGACTGACCAGCCGCGCCGTGGCGCTGCAGCGTTCCCTGGTGGCCAACCAGGCCGCAGTGCTGCGCACCATCAAGACGTCCCCGAAGAAGGATGAGACTGCCACGGCCCCCACTTCGCTCACCGCGGAGGACTTTGCAAATCCGAGCCCCAAGAACTGGCAGAGCTACGGATTCGACTACAAGGACGAGGTGGAGGACCGCAAGGCCACCAAGTCGACGTTCTTCTTCACGGTAACGCTGTGCCTGGTGTGGGGCACCTTCTACTGGGCCTACCTGCCCGACACCCAGTTCCGCGACTGGGCCCAACGCGAGGGCTTCCTGGAGCTGCGCCGCCGCGAGCAGGCCGGCTTGGATTTGGTCAGCCCCAACTACGTGGACCCTGCCAACATTACGCTGCCCTCGGACGAGGATCTGGCCGACACGGAGATCATCATCTAAACATTTAGTGCCCCTATCCTTAGTATGTTATGTAATGCGAATGCGAGGGGCAGTCAGTGCGAATCCGCCTCGTTGCCCGTTAATAAAACTGCAAGTCTCGTTGTGGACAAAGCTGACTAGTGGTCCTCTGGTGGCTAGTTTTCGTTAAATATGCTACTTTTTCCTCCCGCCGCCTTTGAGGTTAGGTGGTCAAAACATAAACAAGTCAATACTCACGCATAACAAAGACCTGCGGCCACGGCGGATGCAGAGCCTCCGGAGCTGCCGCCCGCGATGCGCCAGTGATCCTGGTCAAGGTCCTCGCTCCAGATGTTCTTGGTGGGTCCGTAAAGGGAGTCCACAGTGCCGGCGCCCATGGCAAACTGATCCATGTTGGTCTTTCCCAGAATTACAGCGCCAGCTTGCTTGAGCCTGGAACACACGGTGGCATCGTAGGGCGGCACGAAGTCCTGAAGCATCCTGATAACAAGGATTGTGAGGATACAAGTTCAGTATTATGGAGTTTCCTTGATCCCCTACCGCGAGGCACAGGTGGTGTGGACATCTTTGGTGCAAAAGTTATCCTTGATGGCAATGGTGACTCCATCTAGCTCCCCCTTTGGTTGCCCTTGCTGATAGCGCTTCTCCGAGTCCTGGGCCTGCTGGAGAGCCTTCTCCGGTGTGAGGCGGACGAAGGCGTTAAGGGTTTTCCATCGGAGGGCATCTTCCAGGGCCTGCTCGGTAACCCGGCGCGGAGACAACTGGCCATCCGCGTAACTGCCCGTTAGCTGGTAAATAAAGAGGAGTCAACAAGTTGTTGGCTAGATGATGAATTAACCCACCTGCTTTATGCTCCACTGCAAATGACGCCGCATTCTTGTAAGAAGCGGAACCGTGGGCTTCGAATTTATTCACCCAATTCTCGAGAAGCTATCGTCGGAAGAAATCATAAAATAATTCAATCTGCAACAGTGGTAAGTTTATCTGGTATATGGTATATTTCTGTTTCAGTTGGTCTCAGAATGTATGGTCACACCAAAGCTCATGGGCGTTACTTTGGGGATTTCAAAAAAACATAACTTTTTTAAAAGGGGAGATGTGCCTTGAGTCAAATACACAAGTGTAAATCAAATAAGAAAATTAGTTTCTAAGGCCAACTCATTAAAATTTTGTTATGGCTAAAAATCTCTGTTAAATTTTATGTTTTTGTATGACAATATAAGGTAGGCGTATAATATTCATTTAATTTTATTAGCTTATGAAACATTTGATCCATTTGATTTAGTGTTGACCCCTTAAAACAATGTTTTCTAGCTACGCCCCTGCAACCGGCAGCTGTTATTGATTAGAGAAGCGATAAAATCCAGCCAACGCAATTATTGACAATAAGACAAGCTCAAGGATCTTTTTAGCATTATCTAACATCAATCAATCGCTTGGAATCATCTGGAGGGCCCGCAAATAAGGCAGACAGTTCCCAAAACATGGCTAAGTTAGACGAACGCATCGGCTTTATCGGCGGCGGAAACATGGCCTTTGCCATTGGATCTGGACTAGTGCGCTGTGGGATCGTGAAGGCCAGCCAGGTGCTGGTGTCCGGTCCCCACATCGAGAACCTGCAGCGCTGGCGGGATCTGGGAGCTGTGACCAGCGACGACAACTGCGAGGTTCTGGAACACACGGACATTGTCTTCATCTGTGTCAAGCCGCACATGCTAGCACCCTGCGCCGAGCAACTCAAGTACAAGCACGTACCATCGGCCAAGGACGCCAGCAAGCTGATTGTGTCGGTTCTGGCGGGAACTAGTATTCAAAGGCTGGAGGAGGCTTTCAGCTTCATGGGCAGCTCCGAACTGAAGGTGATCCGCACCATGCCCAACACCTCCATGCAGGTGGGCGAGGGCTGCACTGTGTACACTGGCAACGCTCGCGTCTCCCATCACGACTTGGAGAAGATTCATTTAATGCTTAACGCCCTGGGTCTGGCCCAGCAAGTGCCGGAGACCATGATTGACGCCGTCACTGGAGTGGCGGGATGCGGTCCGGCCTTCGTCTACACCATCATCGAAGCCTTGGCCGACGGCGGAGTTAAGCAGGGAGTTCCACGCCAGATGGCTATTCAGTTTGCGGCACAAACGCTGCTGGGTGCGGCCAAGACGGTGCTCCTTACCGGCAAACATCCGGCAGTGCTGCGGGACGAGGTTTGCTCCCCAGGCGGTTCCACCATAGTCGGCGTCCACGAACTGGAAAAAGGAAACCTCAGGTGGGTGACCCTATAAACTCTATTTAGAACTTTTTGTATAGCATACTCCTTTTTCAGGGCTACTTTGATAAACGCCGTGGAAAAGTCGTCGCAGCGCTCCGCCGAACTGGGAAAAAAGTGAGTCTGGAGCTACTCCGGATCCTCATTTGCTCTCTACTATAAGTGAAACGCTTGGTATTGATATTACAATAATGACTAACATAAAGATTGAGTTTATTCGCGATCCTTCTTGCTAACGTACTCTACGCACTTGGAGGGATCGGTGGGGAAGTACTCCTGGCACTTGGTCATCAGTCGCTTGAGACCTTGGATGTACTTGCGCTGCGTCTCGTCGTTCATCACGTGGGCCACGTTCTTGGAGAAGATCTTTTCGCGACCCGTACGAGCGTGGATGCCCACCATAGTGACACCGATGGGCCAGGGGGCGTTGCCGATGGCCATCTCCAGATAGGCGTCGCTGGCGGTGATGTAGTTGCGGTTGAGCAGGTGCTTGCAAATGTCCCGCAGACTGTCCAGAATGTCCTCGGGAAGCGTGTGATGCTTCAGTTTGCGGAACAGCGGTTTCACGTACTCCTTTGTTTGCGTGTAAATAACCCGAGTCATCTTCACTTTGGTGGACATTTTCTCGTGCTTGCTATAGTTCGCGATCTGGTCGTTCCACAGCTTGAGGAGGAAGGTGAGCAGCGTGATGATTACGTCCATGTCGTAGTCCTTGTTGCGGCCCATCTTCTGGGCCATGGTCTGTATGCTCTCCCACGACACGGTCTCGTCCAGCTCGGCGAAGTCCGACTTCTTGTCCTCCTTGGCGGTGGGTGCGTTTGCAAACATCTCCTGCAGATATGCGGCGTCCACCTGCTCCATAGCCTCCTGGAAGTCGTTGCGGAATCCCCGGTTCGCCTCAGGTTGCGAGATCTCGCACTGTCGCAACCTGTCGAAGGCCTCGGGCTCCGTCTCTCCGAATATCAGAATGGGTTCACCGCGCTCCCTTAGTCGCCGGATGACTTCTGCGCGGGGCAGGATGTTCTGGCCGTCGGCCACGAAACTGTAGGCGCCTTCGGTGGTCTGTCCCTGGGCCTCCACGGACTCCTGCTTCTTGTAGCCCACCTTCTGTAGCACCTCTTCTGTGTCCTTAGCGTTCAGGTCGCCACGCCTGAAGTACTTCTTCTTGTCGTCCACCAGCTGCTTCTGCTCAAGGAGCTTTCGTTTCCGAGCTATTTCTGCTTTTAGGATGTCCATTTAGCGCGAGCTTATCAATAACCAACAACAATACAAAATACAATGTGGTGTAAACAACAAGGGTTCGAAGTGTGACCAGATGTGGGAAAGTAGTAACAGTTGTAATTACAATAGCGGTCAAAAAATAGCAAAGCTATTTCAAATGGTAAATTATTTCACTTCTTATGTTATTACAGGCAATATATTAAAAATTTGTTTATTTCTTGGACGTTGATGCACTATGGTCAGTACAAACAAGTGGCCCTACGACACCAAGCAAAGCTTGTTACGCGCGGAGCCCATCACCGTTTTGGCGAGTAAACAGTAAGCTGAGATAGAAATAAAAAGAAGAGAAACGTATATTTTTTTGCTATTCCAACAATCCTCTGGAACAATTTAAAAAATTATAATTAGATTTGAAGCTTTTAGTATTTTTTCATGATACTTTTTCGGCCTTCCAACCCTGGTCACACTGGCCCCAAATCAATAAAAAAAAGACAATATTTTAGGAAGGAAACCACTTTGAAGGACACTATGCCAAAGAAAATGGGAATGAACTCGAAGGCAGTGGAGGCCCGCGAGCGCAAGGAGGCCACCAAGAAGGCGACGCAGGAAAAGAAGACCAAGGAGGCGGAGGATCGCCTGTGGCACGATGACGACAAGAATCTGGCAAAGAAACAGCAGCGCAAGGAGGAGGAGGACCGCAAGAGGGCGGAAGCGGCCAAGCGGAAGGCAGAGGCCAAGGCGCTGCTTGACCAGGAGATGTCCTCCATCAACACGCAGCGCAAGCAGCCGCTGGCCAAGATCAACCGCCAGCAGATTCTCGAAGAGATCGAGAAGAAGCAGCGCGTGATGGAGGCCATCAACGAGGCTAACAAACCGGCAGCTTCGCGAGTTGTGGTCCAAAACCATATCGAGGAGAATCTCAACCGATCCATGGCCGACACGGATGTGGCCTCCAACATTGATGAGGCTATTGTGGTGCTGAGGTGAGTGCTCTAGAAATATGTCCTCAAATATGATAAATTACGGAGTATAACCTCTTATTATAGTGTTAACGACAGCGAGGACGACAAGCATCCCGAGAAGCGAATGCGCGCCGCCTACAAGACCTTCGAAGCCAACAATCTGCCCCGCATCAAGGCCGAGAATCCCTCGCTCCGCATGTCCCAGTGGAAGCAGCTGCTGATGAAGGAGTGGAACAAGTCTCCGGACAACCCCTTCAACCAGGCGCGCTGAGTGCTTAAAGGACGAATTTCACCGACCCCCCCGACGAGTGTGCGTACTCTAGTGACTGTTTGCTGCCTAGCAGCAAAGACTAATCAAATGGTTCTGAATCACCTTTGAACTATACGCAGAATTTAGTTTATAAAAAACATTGCGGACAAAATAAATGTATTTATTTATTTAAGCCCAGTGAGTAGATATTGTGTTGACTGGGAAAGGACCTATATAAACAATGATGTATATTTATTTATTTAAAATTACATTACGGTCAATTAGAAACAAGTAAGAAATTACTATGGAATGACTTACTACCAAACTCTCACTTTTAAGAAACAGTTACTGATTCGTTATGCAATAATCAATAAAATTTAAGTAAAATCGGGCAAATAAACAACACTCGGGTACTGAGATCTGAAAGTGATTACCGACCGCTTTCCTTCGCTTATTTAATGCCCAATTTTTATTCGCCAGTGCTTCAAAACTTTGTGGCCCTGATCCGATTCCGGTTGCGTTTGTGAATGAAGTAATTATATGTATTGCTTTGATTGCTGCTGTCGTTCCAGCGTTTTGTCCGTCACTTTTTTAGCTGTGGTGCAAAATACAGAGAATAATAAGTGCTTCCGCTTTCACTGTTTGCCGCTTGGAAGTTCAGTGGCGTTTTCTGAGCCAGAGCCACCAAAATATTTTATTTCGACTGTCTTTCGTACATGCACGTAACATCAAGTCAAATATGAGCTTAAAGTCATTAGGCACCTCTTTTTGCGCATTAAATGCGATTTTATATAAGATATTAGGGCTTAATTGAGCGATTTTCCAAATAAAAAGTTTCTAGCCTAATAGCTTCGCTTGGTCAGCTTTCATTTGTTGTCTAGGGCCAAACCATTGAGGTGGAAGTACGCCGTTCTTGCAGAGACTTTCTTGATCAATTAAGTCATTAAGCCCGTGCCGTGGGGGAACACTTTTATCTAACTTTCCTATCACCAGAACCGAAACCGTAATCGCTTTTATGGCGAACCCTCGGAAGCGGCTCGTAAAAGCCCGGATTGCAGTTAACAATTATAGCGTTCCACTGCAGTAGATTTGATTTTTGAATTTCCACCAGCAGTTAAAAGTTAACAGTCGCTCTGTTAACCGTTTGTAACCGCTTGCAGATGGCCGCTCTTACCGGCAGTGCTTTCTTTTTAATAAAAATTTCTTTTGTCGCCGCACAACTTCATTCAGTGCCTGGCCGTCGAAGGCAGCGGTCGCGTCGTGGTCTTCAGATACTTGGGACTCGTGAGAGAAATGCAAATACCAGAGATTCAATATTGAACGCGAGCCGAGAGAAAAGAAAAGTGTGAGACGTGTTTGGAAAATCGAATCGAATTTCGTACGGCACCGTCAACGGAAATCGCAACAACGGTAATTGTTGTGTGTGCTCGGTCTCTTTTATTCCCTGTGAGTGTGCCAGTGTGAAGTTGATTGGTTTTTCGAGCCACCAACTAATTGTGGAATACTTTGGGCCACCGGCAGCCAAGGATATCAGCCAGATTCAGCCAGTTTGCGGGTAAGATTTGTGGGTTAAGCGGTTAGGAATGTTCGTGGGCCACTACGGTTGCAGCTAATTAGCATGCTGCACTCGACAAAGCACAAAAAAAAGGTAAAATGCAGCGGGCTGCCGCTGGTCACCAACTGGAAATCAGGGCAGGCCCAGCAACCCACACGAGTTCGTGCCTTAAGTCTTTTGTTTGCCTCTCTATTTCTTAGTCGTTTTGTCGCCGGCCCTTGCACATTTGCAAAGCGGCAGGCGGTAGAAAAAAGTGGCTCACTTTTTATAGCAGAATAATTATGTACGCAAGAGACGGCTTTTTTTGTCTTAGTCCACATCTCACAATGGCTTACTTTCCTCCCCATCAAATTCGGTTGACCTAAAAATCGTGGACTACATGCTAATTGACGATAACTTGTTTCCGAGATACCACATTCCACATTGGCCAAAAAATTGTCAGGTTCATTGACCAACGTCTGGCGTTATGTAAAGTGCACAATAATTGAATTCTGGTAATGAATTCACACTTTGCATGGAATCCGAGGGGTTGCGTGTTTGACTGGCTGTTGGTTGTGGGTTGTTATGCATTCGCGAATTATTCAATACACAGACGAGGAGATAACGAGATCAATTGGCAGCCAACCGTTAGCTAATTTATTACTTTCCCAAAAGGTCGGAGCGGCGTTCCCAATAGGCCGCTAAGGAGTCCGCCTGCTGATTTATAGCCATCGCCAGCGACCCAAATTGGCTATATATACTATATGCTTAGCTATGCCAGGCCGGAGTCAGAATAAGAATCGGAATCACAAGCAGAAACAGAACTTGGAGCCAACCCATTTATTGGATGGCACGCGCGGGCGCAGCAGTTTCCATTGCCGCAGCTAGTGCAATTGCGTTACTTGCAACCTAGCAACCAGCCAGCCAGTGAGCCAAAAAGCCAAGTGACCATAAAAGAAATGCCAGAGGCAGCAGGCCTAAACCGAATTACCTATGAGTACACAAGCGTTCCCCTTTCCCACTCGAGATCTGGCCATTTATGGGCGCCTCTTCTGCCGAGGAAGTCACACTCCGCAGCCAAAAACGAACTGACAGCCTTGAAAGATTTATTGGCTGCCCAGATCGGCGACGTGCGGCGATTCTGCAAATGGGATGTATCCATCGGCGAACATAGTCAATCATCGCTCGCTTATCGGCCTTATCGCTGCTCTATGAATTTGTCTGTCGACTCGGGAGCACCTTGAGCACTTTCCTTTTTATTTCAGCACGAGCAAGTTTAGTTTTTCATTACACAGAGGAAAATGTGTGCAGTAAAATGAGATATTCTCCTTAAACATATAACTTAAACATATATATTTACAAAATCACTTAACCATTAAATAAACCATACAATTATAATAATATTTTTTATGTGCACCTTTAGTTTTCCTAACTATTTGGCTGTCACTCCTACTTTTCAAGTCAGCTTTTCTGTACGCTCTTTCTTCAAATCAGCACTTGAGCAGTTTCCATTTGACGGCTCGGACAGTACTTTAATAATAGCAATTCCATTGTAAAATTCATATAGTCAGCGCAGTGGGCATGTGTGCAGCGCATAATTTCCTCGCTTTGTGCCATAAGTTGTTGTAAATTTCGACTCGCCGTCGCCGACTTCATATAACTAATAAAATAGCAACAAATTCAAGTTTTCGGAGAGTGTGTGTGTGGCATTTGAAGTGCTCGGCTTGAACTTCACACTCTGGCGGCAAGCTGAAATTTCACCATTTCTCTTTGAAGAACCTGCGAATGCGTATTATTATAATTAAGATTTCAGGCACGTTGCCTTGACTTTCATTGCCATTTTTTAGACGCGGTCAGCGGCCATTTCGGTTTATTGATTTTTAGTCTTTCGGTTTTAATGCCCCCATAATGTGTCTTCTTCTGCCTAACCGGAGGAATTCCGCCTGTTTTGGTCAATGGGGTTATTCATTTCTATATGCTAATCGGCATTTAGCATGTGGGCGTCACTTTCTATCTTTCTATCTTCTCCATCGAGAGAGCGGAAATCCGATCACGGATTTCCTTGGCCTGTGATTGCTTTTGGTTCAGGGGAATTCGCTCGAAATTTCATGGGATTGCAGCACTCGAGTGAATGATTCACGCGACTTTGGCCAAGGTGTGTGCACTTGCCAACATTTGTTAACGTTAACGTTGACGTTGACTTCAGGCAGCAGGCCGCAGAGATCATAGCCGGGATTTATGAGTGTGAGTGGTGTGGCCCAGAGCGATTACGCACCTTAAAAAGTGAAATTTCTCGTGTTGTTTTGTTGCGCCTTTCCGTTTTTCGCCAGAAAGAAATGCAAATTAATTTGAATGACTAAGACGGCGGCGATTTCGGGAATTGTAAGACCTAAGGCCATCAAAATGGAAATTGCCTAGGGTCGGGAAAATGAATGAAATGACTCTCCTATTACATGAAAAGAAAATATGAGGGTTTATTTAACTGATTAGCCATTAGCTTTGGAATTCACATTAGTATCATCTAACTGAATCATTAAATCGGAGCTACAAGAAAAAGAAAAGTAATGAATGGTTTCCTATTAAAAACCTCCTAAATGAACATAAAGACCTAATGACAGACCTTTGACTTACTGGCTAAGTTTATTTTAAAAATTTATGGCAGCTTGAAATGGATTTAAAATATAAATTTATAAATTGTACAATAAAATATATTTCATTTAACTCAGTCAGCTAGTTAGAAATCAAGCAAGTGTAATAAGTCCTTATTGTTAATTCGATTATTTAATGTACCAAGGAATGCAATCCTTTTTTGAAAACATAGAAACTATTAATAACGTGTTATTCTTTTTATGTTAGAAATTTTTAATTTAGAAATTTGTAATAGTTATTTAATGTGCAGGGTTTCCATGCCCAAACCAGGCTTCGTCCACATTCCAGTCGCACTCGCCGCCGACTGTTTGCCCAATGATCGTTAACGGGGTCAGCAGAGCTACGTACACGGGTTCCAGCCGCTTCTCTCACAGCCGATGTTGGTTTATTTTTGTGGTGCCTCCACTGGGTATTGGGTATCTGTATCTGGTATTTGCTGTCTGGCTGATTCACCGAAAAAAGAAAGAAAATAAGACAAACGTGAGGCAGACCGGCGGGCAGGAAGACTGGCTTCCTCGGTATTTGGGATTGGGATTACAAGTTGCCTCATACTGCTGAGAGCCAAGCCGGGCAATCAAAAATTTCACTGATTTTAATTATTTTTATTTTGCGTCCTACCGTTCTGGTTTGGCTGCTTTTGCTCTTGCTTTTGCTTTGCGGTTAAAGTTGAGGCATAAATTCGGTAAGCCATAAATAATTCTCTCTGGCGCCGCAGCATATCCAGCCGCAAAAGCAAAAGCAAAGGCGAACAGCACTCAGAAGCTGAGCGAGAAATTTTTGGCTGCCAAAAGTGAAAGTTGCAGCTGCTGCTGGCCGTGCCATTGAAAGAAATAAGAAATGTAGGAAAGCGCCGAGGTGCCCCTCTAAAGACCCCCAGTCCCCTGGTATCTGGTTTAAAATCAGCTTGCTAGAGACAGTTTAAAGTTGAGTCTTAGGGTCTGAGTCTGGGCCCAGATTGGACTAATGACTTTGCTAGCTGCTCTTTGTCAACATTGCCCACGGGGGGGAATTAAAATTAAGCATTTTCGCTATTATGTGTTTCGTTTTGTCGTCGTAATTATGTTTACCACGCTTTTGATTGCCACTATTTCTGTGCCATTAAAAATTACACCTAATTGCGGTGGTTCATAATGGACGTGCGACTTTTTCGGGGTGTCTTCCTCTAAACAGTAACACCTCGCAGCGGGGCGGTAGAAGGAAAGTTGTGGGGTTTATGCCAACATTATGGTGGGAACTTCGGGCGAAATGAGTTAATCAGAGAGAGAGACGCAGGAGAATTGTGTAATGTTAAAGCCAAGTGCAGCAGGGAAGTGTGATCACACTAATCCACAGACGCGACTTCCTTGCTTCCCCAAAATTGGGTCAGTAATTGGGCGGAGTTCGTTGAACCCCCAAACGCCTTGGAATGCCGCGTTCATAACTCGTTTCTGTATGTTTAAATTTAATTAAATTAGCACTTTCTACGCGGCAAGAAAGCCGTGCCTCACATATTGAATAATAATTACAAACAATTAGCACAGTGACCCAGATGCGTAAATTATGAAAATGAAAATGCATCCATCCATCGATTGGCCGCCCAGAAATTCCTTCATTCGACCAAGCTCATAATGGAAAGTGGCAATCAAGTGCGGCTCAAGTGTGCAATGGAACCACGTTCGCGTATTCAAAAGACTTGTTGACAAGAAGTTTGTGTCTTGAGTCTTTCGTTTTCGAGCGCGTGCTCTTTCAACAATCCAGCGATGACAGGTTTTTATTTGGCATTCGCTGTTCTACAGGAGGATGCTATGCTATGTAGCTCTTGATTCTGCTTCTGCTGCTGCCTCTCTTCGGGTTGTTCTTTTTTATTAGCATACTGATAAAAGCGAACTGTGGACATTATGAATGTGATGGAAAGAGCAAACAAGTTCCTAAATTGTGACCCAATTACCCAGTTAGCCAGTCTGTTGATACAAGTTCCACTTGGCCTTATGAATTGCGGCGGCCCACCGACGAGGCATGCAAAATTGGCCGCTGCATTTGCATAACACTTTGTCTGATTTCGAAGAACAGAAGTAAGCACAATCGCTGGCTAATTCATTGACAATTGAAATGAAAGTTGTGGTAGCAAAACGGGCAACGAGATGGAGATCACTGGCAATTTCGTGTGGCACATGCCGCATGCAATCGAGAGGAAATCTAGACCATAATAATAATAGCCCGGCAATTTCGGAGACACCGCTGGCAATTGCAATTGCACTTTCATCTGGGATTCTTGTGGCCTACCCGCGGCTCTTTGAATAAATTTCTAAATGCCTTGATTGACAGTCCGCTGCGATTGAGCTTATAATGCGACTTTGACATTGATGTGCCTGCTCTCCATCGGTGAGTCAGTCATAATTAGCGCTGGGTATTTCGGCTGGGTGACATTATCGATGTATTTTGATTGAATGAAAGTTGAACTGTGTTTTTGAAAGTGAATTTCTTGTCACGGCAGAAGAAGCGGCGACTCGAATCGAATCGAATCGAAAGCACTGGCGGCCCAGTCGATTTCGGCGCTATAAGCTCATGTATTTGTGTTGCAGCAGAATATCGGAGAGCGTTAGACAATAGGCCCAGACCAAGATCAAGCCAAGACCACGACCAAGACCAAGACCATTGGTTAGGCCAGCGGCTGGCATTTGGCTCGTTTGACATAACCACCACAATGAGCCACCACGACCACAACTCCCAGACGGGTTTTCCACTCGCTGCAAAAACTGGCTGCTCACATTTGGTAAAATTTCACTTTTTCCTTTTATTTGCTCGCTGGCCGCGACTATTGCAGCAGCTTTTTATGAAAATCAAAGCAATCCCATACCAACCATCCCATCCAGTCACTTGTGGACCAGAGTGAGTGCCAAATTTGGAGTGCACCAGTTGTGTATAGTTAATTGTAAGCGACACTGCCACTGCCAGTCGATGTTTTGATTTTGATCTGCAATCATAACTCGAAGGCCAGCCATGGGCTCTTTGTTTTGGCCAAAACACTTCTCGTATAACAAAGAAGCAGACACGGTCATGTCTCAATTAAGCCAACCTACGGTGTGCCTGGTCGACTGACAAATTGCTGTCGGGATTCAGGCAGCAACACAAGCAATCACAAACAACTAGCTGCAATTTTCGCACCATAAATGTGGAAGCGGTCCGTTGTCAAAGCTTTTGAAGTGACAGCGGCCTTGTGCAGACTTTGAAATCAAAAGTGGTTTGGGTTTGGGCGGAAGGTCTGCGATTCAAATTAAAGATTGCGTTTCTTTTTTCTCTTTTCAGCCTAGCAAAATGGCAGGCAGTTGCAAATTGGTGTTGCAGCTGGCACTAATGTTGCTGCTTGGTGCAGCAGCAACATCGAGAGGGGAGTCCACCACGGAGACACCATCGGCCCTGTTGCCCTTAGAGGCAAGAAACGCCGATGTTTCTGGCGAGGAGGACGTCATCTCCACCAGCTATGTGCTGCCCAATCAGATCTTAACGAGGGAAAACCCTACTATGCTCGCCAGGATCCCGTGTCGGGTCAGCTCGATTTAGTGCCAAGAAACCAGCGGGAATACAGCCGGAGGCCAATGAGGTGGTCGATCCAACGAGAAGATTGTGCTCAGCGGTGGCAGTTCACCCAACATACACGACTTCTTGAACCTGCCCGTGAAGTACTCCTCGTCGAAGTTTGTCTATCCTCTGGTCTCCAGTTCGTATGCCAATCTAAGTACCAGGGAAGCAACAAGAACTACATCACCAACAAGAAACCCACATCCGTGGTGGCTCCAGTTACTCCACCACCGCCCAACTACCACAGCTCAAACTATTTTACGGTGCCAACTACTAAACTAACTGCTGTACACCCACGGCAGGAGCTTACTATCCCAGTAGCCCCAGTACCACCACCAGTACAAGTACCTCCACGTCCACTACTACAACCACTACGACCACGACTACTCGGGGAACCAGGAGACCAGTAAGCACCACCACAACCACGGAGGCCACGAGTCCAGTGGCCAAGTATACCACCACCTCCCGACGACCCATTCCTCTGCAGACTGTCTCCACCACGCAGCAACCACCGAGGACTAGCACCACCCGCAAGAAGTTTGTGCCCACCAAGAAATATAGCCCCACTGTGCCCAGCACCAGTCAGACTCCGTTGAAGCCATCTCCAAGACCCACTCCCAGCAGCAGCGATGAGGCTTTGACCACCCACCATGCCACTCCCCAGGCGGCCATCTTCCCCACTGAGCCCTCGACAACCACGAAGATGTACACCACCTCGAGCACAAGTCCACCTGTGGTGTTCACCGAAGGACCCACGCCACCGCCCGCCTTCAGTCCCATTCCGGGAACTGGTATTCCCAACCTGGATCCAGCCGATGTTTACCACACGCTGGGACAGAAGAACACTCAGGCCGAGGAGCAGCAGCAGCAGCAACTGGAGAAGCAGCAGCTTATGCAGCAGCAACAGCAAATACAGCATCAGCAATATCAGGAGCAGCAGCAACAGCTATACCAACAGCAGCAATATCAGCTGCAGCTGGAGAAGCAGCAACTGGAAAAGCAGAAATATCCATACCAGCAGCAACTGGAAAAGCAGCAGCAGCAGCAACAGCAAAAACAACAGCAACAGCAACAACAACAGCAGCAGTATCAGCAGGAGCAACATCAGCAGATACAGCAACATCAACTACAGCAACAGCAACAGCAACATCAACAACAGCAGCAACATCAGCCTCAACCGCCAACTCAGCAACAGCATCCAACTCCTCCCAAATCCCCCATGACCCTCAGCGATATATTCAACAGTCTGGCAGAGGAAGAATCCAATGTGGCCCAAAACTACCAGCAAAATCAGGGATTCGATGCCCAGGGTAATCTCATCCAGCCATCGCACCATCCAAGCCATCACCCTTCGCCATGCAACAGCCGGGCTCACAACACCAGGTCTCAGCAGCCAGGATCCCAACAGCAACGACCCAATCCCAACGAGCAGAAGGTATATCCGGCAGTCAGGAGAACTACAGCAACGAGTACGTCTCCTACCAAGTCAGCAGCCAACATGATGCAATATCGACCAGTGCCTGGCCAGATTAACAACGTGGTTATCTCACCGGGCCAGCAATCAGCCTCCTTTGTCCTCGGCAGTCAAGTGCAACAGGTTAGCGTGGGTCACCCAAGTATGGAGAAGGAACCTCTCTTCGCCAAGGACACCCGGGAGTGCAATAGGTCAGGTGATCAACGAAGATATTGGCAACATCAAGCGACCTCTTAAAGAACCAGTGCCGCAGCCTTCGAACTACCAACAATGCCCAGCATCCAGCAGAACTCCAACTTCCATCAGAACGGAAATGTGGCCACATCGGGAGGCCCTGGAACGGTTTCCTACCAAGAGCCACCACCAGAGGCACCTAGTCCCTATCAGCAGTTGCCCCTGATCGGTTCCAATAACGACCTTCCAAGAAACCAGTGGCCAAGCCGGAGCAGCCTCCACATCCCGCCTACCCACTACAACCACCACAAACTTCAACGCCTCCCAAACGCAGCCCACACCACCAGCGGTGATGCAGGTAGATGACACGAAGGAGTTGCTGGTTCTACCAACATTCGGTTCCCTGCCCAGGGAGAAGAGTCGCTGGAACTGTCCTCCTCCGCTGTGATGCAAGGTCCTCCGACAGGACCCCAAATCAATGGTCATGCTCATCCCTAAGTCTGCAGCAAATTCAAAACTCCAATCCTGTTGTCTTCCCCAAGGGCAAGGATGAAGCCGCTCCAGGCAGTGGTAATGTGCAGATCCAGCAGCATGAAGTGCTCAACCTGAGCCAGCAGAAACCACCATTGGTAAGTCTTTATTGGGAGGGCTAAGAAATCAATAAACTAAACATTTTATCTTAGAAATTCCCTGCCCAGCAGCCAGGACAAGGCGAGCTACCTCCTGGACATGGAACCCCACCGCGTTATCCCACTACTTTGCCAGTGCCTCAGGCACCTCCAACTCCTGGCAAGCGACCAATGGGACCATCACAACAGTCCAACTTCTATAATGAGTTCAATCGGAAACCCCAGAATGGACCACGTCCCAGTAACCTGCCCAACATTTTGCCACAGTTCCGTCCGAATGCCAAGATATCCAGCGGACATCCACCCAACTTCAAGCAGGAACTGGGCAACATCCGTCTGCCCCAGCAAGGAGGTCCTGGTCTCAAACGTCCTTACAATCCCTCAGTGCCTCCCCAGTTTGCCCATCGTCGTCAGCCACTGCATCAACAGCAACAGCAGATGATGCAGAAGCGTTATCCCATGAATCGCATCTCGGAGTACCCCGTGGTCCGAGTCCAGGAGGAGGTGATGTCAACAGGAGGGTTTACAGACTGCCTCCATATGGTGGCCAGAATGTGCCCTACCTGCCCGATCACATGTATCCCCGTCGTCCCCATGGTCCTGGTCCACTGCGATCTGTTGATGGCTATCCCGCCGAGCGACATGCTCCCTCAGCGGAACCCTACAAGACCATTGATGCCGAGGCAGCTGCCGACTTCGAGGAGGAGGATCTGGTGATTAACGATCCGCCACAGCCAGTTACCCCGGCAAGGATCGCAAGGGAGTGGAGGACACGAAACTGGAGCCAGTGGTCACCCTGCAAATGCTGCAGTCCCAGAAGAAGGCTGTTAGCCTGCCAGGCGATGATACGGGTGCGGGAGAGATCCAGGTCACAGCAGAAAATGATCCCCAGGAGCAGAGGCCTCTAAGCTCAGCCAGCAGAAGCTAGATCCCAGCGGAATGTATGTGGTCTTTCCAATGAAGAGTGCGGAAAAGGGTCAGGTGGAGGGAGTTCTCCCTCAGCACCGGCGGAATATCAGAACACTCCGTTCTCCGTGATCCGCGATCAGCCACAAGAACCCATTCTAAAGAACAAGAAGCCACAGTCGCTGCAGCAGCAAAACAAAGCGCAGTCGGTGCCCAAGGAGAAGTTCCCCTATCCCATCGAGAAGCCAGATCCATCCTACTCTGAGCTCCATCCCGATGCCCAGGCTGCTATTCCAGGAGTCCTTGTGGCTCCAAGAATCATTACCGGGGCTCTGGGCACTGGCACAGAGACCCCTATCGCCATCGCCTACACGCCCACTGAACCGAACCCTTTCCGTCACGAACAGGGACAGAAGTTCTCCAACATCAACCTGGCCACGTCGGTGATCAATGAGATCCGCCAGGACACCCAAACGGAGGAAGGTCTGAGCAGCGACTTTGATCTGCGCGGTCAGAATTTCGAGAAGGACTTCATGGCGCCATTCTACCCAAGTGTGAGCCTAGGTGCTGGTGCCAGTGGACCTGCAGCTGTAAATCCCGCAGCGCCTAGTAACTGGAACATTGTACCCTCTACGACGGATCAGCGATCTACGAGAAGAACAACATAAACCGAGCTGATGTGGAGACCACAGAGGAAAGAAAGCTGATGAGGAGCAGCCCACAGCCAGTCCGTTGACAGCGGAGAAGCCTCCGAGATGGACAGCTTCCAGCCACAGCTTCAGGGTGGCTTCAAGCCATCTATCCGCCGGGTTACAACATGTGGAGCAGGTGGAACAGGAGGAGATCGCAGGTGCCAAAACGCAGCACAGGATCAGCCATTGCAATGGCACTGGTGGGCACCACGCAAAGCCTTGACTGCATCACCGCCAGTCAGTAGCAGTAGCAGTTCCACCTCAACTCATCTAGCACCTCCACGACCTCAACGACTCATCAGCCTGGAATAACCAAGTCGGATGCCACATTGGCCACAACCAAGGCGCCGTTGGTCAGTGCGAAGCCCACGCAGCGCAAGAAGACCACTTTTGAGACGAGTCTAGCGGCCCTGCTGTTCGGGGACGAGGACGAGGAGGATGGAGCACGCAAGTCCGCGGAGCTGCCAAAGGCCCAGGCTGGTCCCAGGAATGTGCCACGCATGGGTCCCCGGAGTCTGACGCTGAGCTAAATGGGAAATAGGAGCCCCCAAAACTAGTATAGTCCAATTTTAGTTCGTATTATTTATTCAAAGTTTATGAACACAGGGATAAGCCCCGCTTAGAGGTAGACCATGTGGTAATCTAGTTCTGTTCTACAGCTTATAGTTCGTAAGCTCACCATCCAGATAAATAGACCATCGCCTCCAACGAGCCAACCACACCCCACAATCCCAGCGACTTTTGCGAGTCTGATTTGAAATGCGACTGTTGTGAACTTTCTCATTGGACTCCCGAATCGTCGGAAATGAGATAAAAGCTTTTTGTATTCAATTTAACACAAACCCTAAAATAGTACTCACAATTTACCAGAATATTGTACCATAGAAAACCATGCAAATAAACATAATTTTGATATAATACCTTGGGAATCTTTTTCGGAAAGGGGTGTATTTTTATGTAATTTGTGCAGCGACAAACGGATAGTAAAATTTTTGAAGAGCACTGCCTCTAGTAACTTTTTTAAAAGCGATACAATTTTTACATGATCAAAAGATCATGTAAAATAATACAATATTTTTTTGCATACTTTTAGGCTGTGGCCTAAAAAAAATTCGAGTCTGAACATACAACCCTGGTAATATTCAACTGCGATCCAGTAGAGATCATAAATAAAAGCGGTAGTTTTACTATATCAGTATCTTTATTATACGAGTACAATAATTCAGTTTACAGTTTTACAAAATTTTTTGTTTGCCTGACATGTTTTTGTTCTTCGACATTAGATTTACTTTGTTTTAACTTCTGTTAAAAACCGAAACTAATTTCGTTCATGTGTCGGGGATGGACTGCGATTTCAATGTTGATAATAATATATATAATACTTATTCATGATCGACCCAAGTCGGTAAGTGCATTAAAATATTTGATTGGCAACCGGAAATGAATTTTAAATTCATGATTCTCTAATGTTTGGCTTTACTTAGAACCCATTAACAAGACGATGCAATGAGGTTGACGTGTTATGCTCAAATGGACGACTTACATTTCTTAACAATCTTTTCTATACTGCTGAATCTTATGTACACATATCGTACTTTATTTACAGCTGCCACGGAAGTCTCAATTATCTTAATACATTTTTCTGTTGAACAGTGTCTAAGTTGGTAAAGTAAGATGCTTCAGTTGGAGCCATTATTTCCTAATGAATTCTTGATAAAATAATCAGTTTACGGATATATTTTCCTATCATCAGTAAAATGGAAACTACTAGCCAATTGAAATACGATGGCTCAGTCTTCGCCTTGCTTTTGCAATATGTGTAATAATTGAAGTATAATTGCAGCCGAATAGCATTAATCGTATATGTAAGTTCGATTCTAAAGGACACACAAAAAATAAGTAAAACAATAAATCATGTCCCATAATACACTTTTTTATAAAATCTGAAATTTTTCAGCCAATCTATGATATTGATCTGCTTGGTTTAATGTATACATATGTATTTATTTGTAATGTAGATACCCACATAGTTGTAAAGTAAGAACTAACGCTAAAGTCCTAAGTCGTGGTTAAGCCGATCGGAATTGGCCAATGATAAATGGTCTTCCATCTCGAATTGATCCGGGATCATCTGTACAATTTTTGAGGGGAAGGGGCTTCAAGTCTTAAAACCTCAAGTTGATAAGTCTACATCGATATTTAACTTTGACCTTATGTGGTACTTAATCGTTACAGGTAAAATGTATGTATTGCAATATGCCATTTTATGTGTATATGTATGTATATTTGTATTTAAACATAATCTTTTTATACAGAGTTTAGACACAATCAAATAAATAGCGCGATAAATTTAATAATATATGTAAATGTATTTATAAAGAACAGCTATGCCATTTCGTAGGAGTTTACCAGCGACAGGTTTAATTATTAAGAATAAATACTTTCCATGATTGGTATCTGAATACTCGCTAATTTAGCATAATATATGTAGCGATGTAAATTTGAAGGACTAGGAACCAGTACGACATATGATTATGTTTATAAATGGTAATTAGATACAATTTTCAAACTAATACAAACGAAATGGATTCTCTTATTGTAAAGGGCATGCTTAATTTTTAGTAGAACATTTTGGCTTATTTGCAATTGCGCTCTATACACATGACAATAAGGAAATAAACTATAAACTTATGAATTAAACTTTTAGGCATCGAAAACTAACCAACTTTTGTGGGCAAACTAAGTTGCGATTATTTGCTGTATTCTTATCAATTGGTACTGCCAGGTATAAAGGAATCGGATATGGGGATACAAATCTCACAGAATCTAACTAAGTCTTAAGGTGACTGAACAAATAAATTAAATATAAATCAGGTCTGTCTTTCCGTAACAAGATATCGGCTAGCCGCCCTGCTGTTGCTTCTTTTTGTCGAATATGGGAAGCTTGGACTTGACTGCACCCTCGCACACCATCATCCTTTGCTGCGCTGGCTTCTTGTCCAGATCGAAGCACAGGGCATCCGCATTCAGGTGCCGCTTGAAATCCGAATAGCGACGCGACTCGTACGAGAGGTAGTTGGATCCCAGTGCCGAAGCAGCCACGGCAGCGGCCACAGTGCCGTTTCCGTTGCGATGGTGCACCGATGGCGGCGAGGAGTCTTGTCGCTTCCGCTCAAAGTACTCCACTATCTTGGCAATCTGAGCTGATCTCGTACTGGGCAGTGCCGTAAAGGAGCGGTCGTCCCACAGCAGGGAATCGGATCCCGCCAAGCTGCTTATGTCATCAGAGCTGTCGGTGTAGATGGACGAGGTGCGGTTCTTACAGTACAACAGTTGATTCGTTGCGAATGGACTACGCTGGAGAAGCGTATGAATCTCCGAGTCCAGAGCCAGTCGATTGATGAGGCCCGCTGTAGCCGCCATTTGGGAATCACTGCCGTTTCCGCTGATTAACGCATGGTGACAGGTGTATCGTCGCTGGTGGGTGGGCCGCGCAGCCACTATGTCGGCGTCCAGGTCATCCATCGAGTCCAGCGCTGTGGACGATGAGGTATTCCCCCCGATTACGGCAGGATCGTTGTCGATTAGCAGCACTGACGACGAGGTTGAGGATGTGTCGTTGAGCAAGTGGCTCTGCTGTTGTTGTTGGGCCGCAGCAGCGGCAGCAGTTACGGCGGCATTCGATGTTGAGGTGGCGTAGTAGCAGCAGCGACACAGACTCGCAAGTTTATCGCTGAAAGATAAGACATGCAATCAGTAAGTGGCAATCAAGGATACAAATACAGGGCCCTACTTAAGGTAACCTTAACATTAGACAAACAGTTTAATAGCTTTTTCAATGTTTCATGGCTTTGTGATGAGTATCTACGAATAATATATGGTTGTACACAAATAACACGTCAAACTTTAGATTTCTAAAAATTTGTGACTTTTATGATAGCGTGATTTTAATATGCTTTCAGCGAAATAAGTCACTTACGTTGCTTGTGCGTTTGGGGCTCGAATTTATACCATGGCTGTGTTTAACCTGGGATATGCCGAAATAATTACTTCGTATATATTCAACATTTAAGATATTAAATTTCTATCGGTATACGACATTTAGACATGCAGTTTTAATTGAAATCTAACAAGTTTAGACACAAAAGCTCTTTTCTAACCATTTACGAAATACAACATAATTAAAGTTTTATAAGATCCAATATACTTACTTGATTTCACTATCTGCGCTGACACATGCATCGAGCATTAACTGCGCCTTCAACTTGTCATAGCAGCAGTTACTACTGTTGCCCCCGCCGCCGCAACCAAACCCCAACGACCCAATCCCATTCAGCTGTCGGCCGAAACTATTGTTGGTTATCGCTGCATCCGACTCCTCGTTGAAGCATGAAAAGAACCCACTTTCGATGGAGTCCCGTCTCGTGAGGTTCGTTTTCAAGGGAAGCTGCTCACACGAGTTCTTCATTTCACTTAGATCGCAGGTATTCTTCAGTTCGTCGAGCTCAAGATCGGTGCAGGATGACACTGAAGCCGGGGTTTCCACCAACCTGGCTGAGCAGCCGGACATGGGAGTGGGTGAAGCCAGGGCCGTAGCTGCTGCACCGCAACTTGTTTGGTCTTTGGATTTCTTGGCGCTTTCAGTCAGATCCTCACAGGAATTGGACGCACCCGCTGAGGCAGTCAACGTGATGGTCGATGCGCTGGACTTCAGTAGAGCTGGACTCTCGAATTCGCTGGTGCTGTTACTCTTCATGCTGGTGCCATTGGGGCCACGAAAAAGAGGGTGCGTGTACAAGGAATTCGCGCGGTATTTTCGAGCGGTGGGCACGGTGGCCGGACGCACAGCACTATCATCACTGCTAGACTCCGCATCCGCACAGTTGCCACCGCCATCGGGATCCTCCCCTTCCGAGTTGCAGTCATCGCAGTCATCCTCTTCCGCTGTCAATGGTGTTGCTGGTGGTGGCGCATTTGCACTGGTCACTGGGAGAGCAGAATTGCTATTTCGCTGCGGGAGCCGGAGTTCAATGGCGCTGTACTTTCGCGTCATATGCGGCGATACGGGCAGACTCTTTGGTTCACTGGGCGTCGCTGCCGTTGCCTTTGCAGCAGGCTTTCCTGCTGTCGCCTCATCCGTACTCCCTGGTCCACCCTGGCCCACCGCCTTGCTCTGCATGGCGGCCAGCTCCTTAAAGAACGGCGCCAGTGTCTCGAAGCATGAGCTGAAAAGATCTCCCACTCCAGCTGCATAGGTTTTTGGATTGGCGTCCAGGATCTTCTTAACGCCCCGAAGCTGCGCCAGCGCTTCGAACGGATTCGGTTTGGAGCCGTTATGATCCTTTTCAGAGGTCGGCTTGTACTGTGGATCCTTCAGACACATTGTTTCGCCCACTTTTCGCAGGGTAAGAACCGCAGGAACAGGCTGAGGAAGTGGCGGCGGATCTGGAATAGCCGTGGCAGGCAATTGAACCGAAGCCAGCTGCCTGGGTGGCGTTGGTGAGTGCGTGGAGGATCGCTGGCGCTGCATCTGATGACACCGCGCCTTGTCACTGGGCGACGTGTGCATGGGAAAGTGGATAATGTTCTCGCTCAGCGATCGCCGGTGCAGCAGGATCTCGGCCTCAAGTTTCTGGGTGGCTCGTCGCACTCTAGACTTCAGTATGTGATCATCGAAGCCATTACTTCCGGCGGATCCATTAGGCGTGCCCGGCAGCGCCGCCGAAGCGGACTTTTTACTCGGGAATCGAAAGCCGTCCTCATCCACTTCCCTCAGATGGCGGGGTGTTAAAGTGCCCGCTGGAGCAGTACAAATAGTGGCCACCGTGGGTGCAGATGCCCGGGGAGTCACATTCATCGTTACATTCTCTGAATCGCTTCCTCCTGGAGAGCAGTTGATCAGCTCCAGGGAACTAAGTGG